CCCGGATCCAGTGACTTGAGAAAGATTCTGAGTACATGTGCATGGATTCCCAAAATCCCTAAGAGAGGGAGAGATGGAAGAGAAAAGATTGTGGTGTGACCATGACCTGTGGGGATTGTGTTCTTGCTTTCATTCTGTGTGTCTGTCTCTATCTAGCAAGTGCATGGGCCCCTGGCAAATTAAAACAAAAACAAAAAAACTCTACTTTCTAAGTTTGTAAAGTAATTTAAGAGAGCTCATGTGAGAGATGTAGCAAATCTATGTTCAAGAAATATCTTAAATGAAAAATATAACTGAAGAAGAGTATACTTAATGGCTTCAAAGAACGCTTCAGCTCTAAAAATCTGTGACTCTCCAAACTGAGGAGAAGCAGCAAATAGAGATGATACCCAAGATGAGATGACAAATTGAATAAGGGTCCAGTATCTAACACCAGATGCCTGGAGGCCCGAGATGTTCAATGTGCAAACCAAATGGACATGTTTGGATCTGAAACTAAAGAATAATTTGAGTGAACACTGTAGTCCAGAAAAGGAAGGAGTTCTCTTTTTCCTGAAGGCTAACAGAAACAAAATAATTTAAATTCGAGTTGGAAGTGAGGTCTAACAAGAAGATGACTTCATGGACTAGGGCTAAATTAGAAGAATTCAGAGCATCAAAGAACAATGAAGAAGAAAAGATACTGCAGTAGCTACTGGGAGACTGAGGCAGGAGGATTGTGAGCTTGAGGCTGACTTGAGCAGCATAGCAAAACTGTATCTAAAGAGCTGGGAGTGGTGGGGTATGCTTGTGGTCCCAGCTACTGGGAATCTTAGGTGAAAGGATTGTGACACAGTGAGACCCCATATTTAATAAAAGAAAGGTTGTGGCTTTGGGTTTGGGGCTGGAAAGTGGGTGTAAATGGAGGAGGCTTAAGGAGATTGATAGTAAAGGCTGGAAGGGCAGAGAGGAATTAGTATCAATATTTAAAAAACAGACAACCTGTGTTATGTAGTGATTGAAAGTTTGGTAACATGTTGACTGTTGAAGATAAAAAATATACCTAGATGACTTAAGGATCTAAAAGAATATTTCCAGAAGGAATGTTGAAGATGCCAACTGGTTTCTTTTAGCTGTTTATGATAAGGCACAATTATTTTTTGTTGGAAAAGTCATGACACATTTTTGCGTAGATGAACAGAAAAATATGTTATGACTTTTCTGACAACTGAGAAGAGAAGTGTGAAAAAATGAAAAGAGTAAACACCGGTAAAATTTCCAACCCAGTACTTACTGAGTTGGAAAATAAAACTTTCTCTCTCTAGCTTTTTCAGTCTGCAAAAGGCATCCAGGCGGATTTAGGAAAAAAGTGAAATTCTCAGTGCCACCAGTAAAATGGAATGTATGGGTCAAAATCAAGTCAAGGATATGGCTGTAACTTTGATGAGACCTGAATGATTCAGGGTAGAACCTCCTAGAACCTTGCAGCTAAGCAAATATTTGCTTCTGAGAATCTAAAGGCATCTTTCCACAGGACTCTGAAGGCCCAGAGTGTTGAGACGCCTATCATGAAGAGATTTGTGACTATGGTTTTTGTCTAATGGATTGAAACCTAATAACATTTATAGGAATTCTACATTATTTTAAGGAAAACTATATTGGGAGAAACATGAAGAGTTGGACTAAAATGGACAATGGATTTTAAATGAAAAGAGACATTTAGACTCTTTCCTTCTAAAAGTAGGAAACAGGATGATAAAGCTGTTTAGCTACTGACACAGGCCATTTCTTGTGGAAAAGAAGGAATCCTTAGAGGGAGAGCCAAGAACCATGGAGAACCCCTCCCAGGGAACATAACTTCTGGAGCAGGGGGATCTAATGACCCATGCCTGGCTGGATTTCAGAATTGCTTTGGACCAGCAACTACTTTAAGCCTTCTATTTTCCTTTTCTGATGGGAGTGTTTATTATAATTATCTCATGCCTGTCACAGGTATGTAGGGAGAAACAACTTGTCTCTTAAGTTCACAGCTCTAGAGAAAACATACCTGAGAAGCCTCAGGTATGTTTAGGTGGAAAGTCTTGAAACTCTCAGGGTTCTTGGGAGAGGAAGAGTATTTTGCATGTGGGAGGGCTGTCTGTCATTAGAAACTGGAGAGCAAATGATTGCAGTTGGTTTTATTGGGGACCCCAGTAAACAATACCTCTTAGGATTCACACCATTGTGTATTCCCCTTTCCATGCATCCAGTTTAAGCTTTGACTTGTTTTAACTAATAGAATACAGCAGAAATGACACTGCCTGTTCTGGGTCTTAGGAGTACTGGCAGCTTCTGCTTTGGTGCTCTTGGGTGCTTTGAGTCACCATATAAGAAGTACAACTACCTTCTGAGGGACTATGTGAAGAGGCCTGCTATCCTAGTATCTCAGTGGAGCCCAGCCCCAGCCAACCCACAGCTCCCATTTAGCCATTGAGTGATCCTACTATCAACATTCAGGAACTTTGCCAGCTAAGCCCATCACAGGTGGTGTGTAAATACAAAGGTTGTGGTTTTAGGCCACTAAATCTTGGAGCAGTTTGTTATTGGGTAGTCGGGAAAGTCATGACTAATTTTTTTTTTTTTTGAGAGCTTTTTGCTTTAGGGCATGTGCACCGGCCAAGGATTTGCTATAGGGCATGTGCACTGGCCAGAGAGCCTGAGAGACAGAAAGTGAGAAATCATCCCCTGGGGGGATGGCCATGCCGCAATCCTCCCTTCTCCATTCTCCTCTCTGGATCTTGGGCACTCATGCATGCATATGTACTCAGCATGAATTTAAGCCACCAAGTCTGGGACTCAAACTGTGGTCAACTACATGGGAATCCAGCGATATAGCCATTATGCCATTTGCTGGCCCCAGTCATGACTAATTTTTGCATAGAAAAATATGTCATGACTTTGCAGATGACTCAATACATAGCAATAGATACGTGAAATAGGGCCAACTCAAAAAGTTGATCCATTAGCATATAACTGAAAGAATGACATTATAATACTACCTCATAAAAATAAGAATGGCATTTTTTTAAATGGAAGATAAACTTTTGGTTTCACTGAAGTTAATTGACCAAAGTAATTCAATCACAATCTAAGCATAAATCGCAATGGAAAAGAATGACTGCAGAGTTAATGGAGCAGGTTCAAAGAGCCAACCAAATTTAGTAAAAGAGGAACCTGAGAAGATAATTAGGCTAAACTTAAATAGAACATACTTAAATTGAAGGTGCAGACAAAAATGGTTGTTTGCTGATGTTATTTATTCCCATTTTCCCTGACTTCCTTTTCCACCAGGAGTGAAGAGCTGGCCATATTTAAAGTTATGCTGGTTGATTCTCAAGGCACTCTGTGAATAGCCCTTCAAAGTTAGACAAATTCATGCATTTGGAAATTGAATTGTGATGAGCTTATCTGTCAGCTGCATGATGTTTCCCTCAGCCATTCTGTCCTGGGCGATAAATCCATAATCATTGAAGGCAAGGACTATTTATTATTCATGTTCATATAGCCCGATCTGAAGGCCCAGACTGTGAATTGGCAGGAACAACAACTGCCATTTATTTATCTCTTACTTTGTAGCAGAGCTGGGCTCAGTATTTTCCATTCATTTTGTCCTTTAATCCTTGTCAAGACTTTTGAGGTAGGCTTTCTAGGCAAGGAAAGTGGGGCTCAAAGAAATTTAAATAACTTGTCCAAGAGGCAAAACTAGGATTAAAACATATGGATTTCTGCACTGCACTGCAGGCCAGCTCCTTAGAACACATCTCAGTGTTTTACAGATGATGTTTATATGTTTGTATGGTATCTGGAGCACATGGCTAGATAGTATCAGGGCAGATTTTAGGACTATGGCTCCTGACCCCCAGCATAGTTTTCATGATCTTACACATGGGAAAAATAGAAAAGTTGGGATGGGCTAGAAAATGGCATGGAGGTTAAGGTGGCTGGATCTCTTTCACATGGCTAACTCTATGGTTTGAGTCCCAGACCTGGTGGCTTGAAAATCACACCAGGTGTGTGTGCGTGCATGCCCAAAATCCTGAGAGGAGAATGGAGGAGAAGGGATTTCGGCATGGCAACCCCCAAGGACTGGGGTGATTTCTCACTTTCTCTCTGCCTTTCTGGTAAGTGTATGCATCCTATGGCAAAAATCTAAAAAAGGGGAAAGCTAGGAGCATTAGTGACTACTATTTGGGTAAAAAGAGAGAGACCTCTGATTTTCCTTTACTATTTTCAGATAATTTGGAAATTATTTTTTCATTGGCAGAGGATGCATGCATATGCAGGAGAAAGAGAGAGAGAGAGAAAGGAGAGAGGAGAGAGAGAGAGAGTGAACATTCATACTCCCCAGAAGGGCAGAAGGGCCTGGTCACACTGTCATCCTTTATCCTCCAGTTCTTCTTCCCATCAGGATTCCAGGCACATGTGCAGGCCAGATGTGTTTTCGAGCCACCTTGGCTGGAACCCAAACCCTGGTTGGTCCTATGGGATCCAGCTTCCTCTGTATAGTGCTTATAAATACTGAGCTAAGGGATGAGCCCAATTTGGGAAATTCTTAATTCCTCTAGATTTCTTTTCTTTTCTTTTCTTTTCTTTTCTTTTCTTTTCTTTTCTTTTCTTTTCTTTTCTTTTCTTTTCTTTTCTTTTCTTACAAAAGGCTAAATTCTGCTGATATATGTGGCCTTGTGGCCTTGGAACAGAATAACTGGTCCCTGTCCTTTTTCTACTCACTGCCATCGCACTAATTTTAGGGAAAATGCTGAGACAAATTATTTTCAGTCCATTTTGAAGATTTGCAAAAGCTTTAAATTGCATTGCAGAGCTTTTTCATAGAGAAGTGGCAAAGAATAAAAAGCCAAGACACAGGCAAATAGTGTAGTCTGAGAGCATGCTGACTTTATGCAAATCCAGGTTCTCAGCGGTTTTTGTGAATATTAATATATAAGCCAGAGGCAGGAAGTGAGAGAGGCTGTGCTGGAGCTTCTCAGACTGTGACTTGATGTGGCAGAAAGAGCCCCTGGTCAGCAGCAGGGACCTACTGCACACCATGAGTAGACCTGGACTTACTCTCAGCTCTGCCTGTGAGATTTTAGGCTGAGCTAGCCACAGGTGTGGCCTGTTTTGATTTGTTTTGTTTTAGAATTATACTACCTATCCTGTTGATGGATAAGAATGCCTGTGGAAGAACTTTTGATACATAAGCTGTCCTGGAATTTAGATTCATCTGCCACCTCGGTTGGCCATTTCATGGTTTTTCAGCACAACCTCACTGTTGCTGTGATGAAGCAGGAA